TCGCGGACCTAAATCCTTATGTCCGGGACGGGGGTTTGTTTACGCCCGAACGCTGATTTCGGGATTGACGTTAGAGGGCGCGCAGCTCGGCGATACCGGTTTGAAGTTCGGCCGAGCGTGGCAAGTGGCGCGCGGGTCGCAAGCGCAGCAGTCGTCTGCCAGATGTGCTAATGTCTGCACGCTGTTAATTTTGTGCGGGAACCGCGGAATAGTTAGGGCGTGTAGTAAATCCTGTCTAGGAATTATAGCGCGCATTCCCTGTTTGGATAGCCTTTCCCGGGACTTATTGGGTCCGACTCAGAATCAGTACAAGTGCATTCGACAATATTAGCTAGTGCGGCCTCTGATATTCTAGAACTAACTGTTGCTACGCGAAACGGCCGTGACCTTTAAACTCCGTGTGCATTTGTGCGTTAACCTTATACCCAGCGATAGTTAGTGGCTTCTGTAAGTTATTTAATCGTACGATAGAGTTAATTGACTGTCATCGTGACGAAAGAAGAAAGTGACTGTGGTCCGGCGCCGAAGCAGTCTGAAGCAGTGTGGCAGCATTTTGGAGCAGCCTGGAACTCGGCAGCGGCTGGTCGTCTATGCTTGACAAGGCCCCACACATTCACCCCTCACTGTACACTACTCTCCATCTACTATTACACACACTCACGGCCTGCCCAAGCCTTGGTGCGAAGTTAGCTTCGGATAATGGTAAGTACTATGTCTTTCTAGCGTCCTCCCATCTGGTTTATTGTAATTAGGAATTTCCACGTGGCCACATTGAGGCCCGACCTACGTTTGCTCGGGAAGTCTTCTGCTCATGGGCCCCGGAGGATTGGATCCTTTAAGGGAGCAGCCGAGGGCCGTAACAGTATGGAAGAAAAAAAGATAACAGTACTGGTACTAGTTGATTTCTCAAATGTTTTCAACACAGTTGATCATGAAATCCTCCTTTCCATACTATCTCACCTGAATTTTGGTCCTACTGCTTTGGAATGGTTTGCATCTTATCTTAGCGGTCGACAGCAGTCAGTGTGTGTAGGGCAAATGTCCTCAGCTTGGGCTGATGTGGATGCTGGTGTGCCGCAAGGCGGTATTCTTTCTCCTATAATTTTTTCAATTTTCATAAACTTTATTACCCCCACCCTCGACTGCTCGTATAATTTGTACGCCGATGACCTTCAGCTTAATGTGCAAGCTAAATTTGAGGATGTACATAATGGGATCAAAAAACTTAACGACAACTTATCAGCTATCAAAGATTGGTCTACTCATTATGGAGTTTTGGTCAATCCTTTGAAATGCCAAGCTATACTAGTGGGTAGCTCAAGAATGCTAGCTAAGATTAATCTGGCAGATTTACCTCCTATTTATTATGATAGTATTATAATTACGTTCAGTAATTCTGTTAAAAATCTTGGCCCACATATCGACAGCACGTTGAATTGGAGAACCCATGTTTCAGAAGTGAGTAGTAAAGACATAGCCACTTTATGCTCTCTGGTCTAAAACATTTTCTTCCCACAAAATCTAAAATCATGCTTGTCCATTCGCTCATATTACCCATAATTGATTATGCAGATGTGTGTTACCCGGATCTGTCCCAAGATCTTCTGAACAAACTGGAACGCCTTCTTAACAACTGTATAAGATTTATTTTCGGGCTTCGTAAGTATGACCATATATCTCAATATAGATCTAAGCTAAATTGGCTTACAATCCGTCAGAGGCGCAATTCCAGAATATTGCTTGTTCATTTTTCCATTTTAAATCTTCTTCGCCTTCTTATCTTAAGAGTAAATTTCACTATCTCTCCTCATCTCATGATAGGGTCTTACGTTCTTCTTCTAACAACAAAATCTGTATTCCAGTTCACTTCACCGAGTTCTATGGCAACTCCTTCACAATTCAGGCTACACAGCTTTGGAACTCCTTGCCCGATGACATCAGAAAAGCACCCAATAATTATGTTTTTAAAATAATGGTCCGTAATCATCTATTGAAGACAAAGCATTTTACTTGATTCATCCATTTGATATGTATTGCTAAACAGACGCATATATTCATAGGTATTTGTATGTACTAATTATATATTATGTATTGAAATATGTGTATTTGTATGTGTATATTTGTTTATATGTTTGTATACGTCATATATGTATAGTTTATTTATTAGTAAATTGTATGTATTATGTAGTTAATTATTATTTTGTTTAGTGTTATTTTATTCTATATTGCCTCACCTACGTCAAATTCTCACCACTCCACGGATTGACTGGTAGAGAATACCTCAAGGCATTAAGTCCGCCCTTTGTATTCTTTTGTTTTAAGGAATGCAATAAAGAATAAATAAATAAATAAATAAACATCCACACAAAATAAAATAGAGCTGAATATGAAACAACTTCAAATTTTAAATAAGAAGTGAATATTACAACTCAAAGCTTTAATCTAGTTAAATTAATATACTATATATATCGGCGCAAGAACAATAGTTCATCAATTATAATGATTAATTACTCGGTTTAATAATTTTATTGTGTTAAAAATAGTTCATAAGCCGTTTAATACTCACTCTTTGATTATTACAATGTAAAAATCTTGTGATTGACATAATCCAATACTTGACCTAAAATTCATGTACACGTGCTTGCCACGCTATAAAAACGACCACACAGAGCGTGCTAGGTCAGTCTGGCTCGAGCAGTCGAACAGTACAGACTTTTCTAAATACATTGTTACGCTGTCAGTCGAATAAACGAGGCTTTCAGTTTAGTTGTGGTGTTTTCTTTGGAAGATTGAAGATGAGTGATCTCCATGAAAATAACATTAGTGACGTTAGCTGTGCTGACGTCACACTTTTTAAAAACAACGAGGACCTCTGTCCACCGTCATCAGAAGTGGGATATCAAGGGATTCCTACGCAATCCACTTCCTCATCAGCTCGTTTACCACCTGAGCAACAGGAACAAGCCAACAACCAGCATGAAGAGCCTGTGCTGGTTACCAATATGCCAATGGAAGCCATACTACAATCAAGACCAAATACCTACCCAGATCAAGGAATGCGGATGAATGGAATACCACCACAATTCCTTATACAAATGATGGAGATGATGCAGAAAATGTCAGAACGTTTGTGCGCTCCACCCACTGATTTAAAAATAAGGATCAAAGACATCTACTTGCCATCATTTGACCCGGATACCCACGTCGGGGTACGAGAATGGTGTCAGCATATAGACCAAGCCATTGAAGCATATAAGTTGGGTGACTTCGACGTTCGCATGAAAGTCTGCAGCCTGTTAAAGGGACGTGCGAATATGTGGATCGATGATTGGATGGTGACCACTAGTACATGGGAACAGTTGCGAAAGAACATCATCACCACATTTGAACCTGAGAACAGATAATCCCGAGACATCGTTATGTTCAGGGAACATGTTTACGATTCGTCAAAAGATATTGCAGAGTTCTTATCACGGTCATGGATCCTATGGAGAAGGGTTACCAAGGATAATTTGGGAGATGAGCACGCTGTGGAGGCAGTGATTGGATGTGTTAATGACGAGCGTTTGCGCATCGAATTACTGAACGCCAGAGCAACCACTGTGCCGGAATTGATTTCAGTGGCTACATCTATACGGAAGAAGCGTTCTCATGTAAACGCAAATTCTACAATACCTCACAAACGTCCACGATTTGCGGTCAATCAACAATCAACATCAAGCTGCCGTATATGTAAGAAGACAAACCACTCAACTAACGATTGCAGATTTAAACCTTCGGAGGCTAAACCCGAAGCTGGCAATAAGGATGATAAAACACAAACCATACCTACTTGTACTTATTGCAAGAAACTAGGCCATACATATGAAACTTGCTTCAAAAAGGGACGATCGTTAACTTCAAACGCTAACTACGTAGCAAGCAATAAGTTGGCTCCTATCTACATCAAAATAGGAGAAAAGATATTGCAAGCTGTGTTCGATAGTGGAGCAGAATGCTCAATCATGCGAGAATCGATTGCTATAGCTTTGAAGGAGCCCAGCAGGTTAGTTTGTAACCCACTTGTCAATCAGGTTAGTACGAATTCCCCTATCTTCAATAACTTGCACTGTGATTTGACCAGCAAAGATGAAGTCGCGCAACTACGTGCTCTCCTGAATAAATACGAGCATTTATTTATTCGTGGATATCCTAAAACTCGGGTTAACACCGGTGCGTTGGAGATCAGACTGAAAAACTCGGATAAATTCGTAGAAAGAAGACCATATCGTATTCGTCCAGTGGAAAGAGAGAAGGTTCGTAACATAACTCAAGAGTTAATGGAACATAACATCATACGTGAAAGCAAGTCACCCTACTCAAGCCCTGTTATCTTAGTCAAGAAGAAGAATGGTGATGATAGAATCTGTGTTGACTTTCGAGAACTCAACTCGAACACTCTGCGCGATCATTACCCACTTTCGTTGATTTCAGACCAGATCGACCAGCTAGCAAATGGTAATTTTTACACAAGCCTTGATATGGTAGCAGGTTTTCACCAAATCCCTATTGCTGAGACTTCTATAGAAAAGACCGCCGTCGTCACTCCATAGGGGCTATATGAATACCTAACCATGCCGTTCGGTTTAAGTAATGCTTGTGCTGTTTACCAACGATGCATCAACAGAGCTCTAACGTCATTGCTGGGAACAGCTGCACAGGCCTATGTGGATGACGTGCTGAGTAAATGCGCAGATTTTCCAGAAGGAATATCACACCTAGAGCGGATTCTCATAGCACTACAAGATGCTGGATTTTCTATCAACGTCGAAAAGTGCAGTTTCCTCAAACGATCTATTTAATACCTCGGAAATGTTGTTTCTGAATGACAAGTACAACCAAGCCCACGTAAAGTGGAGGCTCTTGTGAAAGCTCCGGTACCTAAGACTGTCAAGCAGGTGAGACAGTTCAATGGGCTGGCAGGATACATCAGGAAATATATTCCTGACTTCTCACGTATAATGCTACCGTTGTACGAACTGACAAAACAAGGTGCAGAATGGACATGGACAGACAACCACGAGAAAGCACGTAACACCATCATCGAATGCTTAACGTCCGCACCAGTACTGACATTATTCCAGGAAGAAACACCTATACAACTATTTATGGATGCTAACAGTCTTGGATATGGTGCAGTACTGGTACAGGTGATTGAGGGGCGCCAACATGCGGTTGCCTATATGAGTATGAGGACCACTGAAGCAGAAAGCCGCTACCACTCATATGAGTTGGAAACGTTAGCAGTGGTACGTGCTACAAAACACTTTCGCCAGTACTTATATGGGCGAAAATTCACGGTGATAACAGAGTGCAATACATTAAAAGCGTCCAAGCACAAGAAGGACCTTCTACCGAGGATTCATCGTTGGTGGGCATTCTTGCAAAACTACGACTTTGAGGTAGAGTACCGCAAAGGTGAACGTCTCCAACATGCCGACTTTTTCAGCAGGAACCCAACTGAGTTTACAGTCAATATTATGACAAGAGATTTGAACTGGCTCAAAATTGAACAGCGACGGGATAATGAACTGCGGCCTATAATCGATAACCTTAGTAAGGATAACCCAGTAGAGAACTATGTCTTGGAGGATAACGTCTTGAAGAAACAAGTAAACGATCCTGTTTTTGGTCAACAACTTAGAACAGTTGTCCCCAAGGCTTTCAATGGAGTATTATCAACTCTTTTCACACCGCACTGAAACATCCCGGCTGGGAAAAAACATTACAAAAGATCAGAGAAACTTATTGGTTCAACAAAGTGAGTTCTACTGTCCGAAGATTTGTAGACGATTGTGTAATATGCCGAACATCCAAAGGAAGATCTGGTACTATACAAGCCCAATTACACCCAATACAAAAACCAGTGGCTGCTTTCCAAGTTATTCATATGGATATAACTGGAAAGCTAGGCACTCTAGAAGATCAGCAGTACGTCATAGTTACCATTGACACTTTCTCGAAGTACGTTCTGTTCTACTTCTCCGGCAACAAGAACCCACTGTACCCAATGTACTGTACATTAGCTGCTCTGAAACGCACAGTACATCTATTCGGTACACCTATTCAAGTAATAGTTTATGGAGGAAGGGAGTTCCTAGGCGAATTCAAAAACTATTGCGACCACACTGGAATAAATATTCACGCCATAGCTCCAGGAGTTAGCTGAGTGAATGGTCAAGTAGAAAGGGTTATTGCAACTCTCAAAAATGCATTGGTGATGATTAAAAACTACGAAGCAGAGCAGTGGCACACTACGCTTGAGGAACTGCAATTAGCAATGAACTGTACAACTAATCATGTCACGGGCGTGGCTCTATTGACACTTATTACACAACGAAAGCATTGTGTACCTCCCGAGCTTCTCAACTTGGTGTTGTACCAGAAAATGTCTCGTTTTTTTTTTTATAGGAGAGGGGGCAAACGAGTATGCGGCTCACCTGATGGTAAGTGACTACCGCCGCCCATGAACAACTGCAACACCAGGGGAATCGCAGATGCGTTGCCGGCCTTTTAAAAATGAGTACGCTCTTTTCTTGAAGGTCCCTAAGTCGTATCGGTCCGGAAAAATCGCTGATGGTAATCGATTCCACAAGGAGGTCGTGCGAGGAAGAAAACATCTTCTAAATCGCACAGTGGTGGACTGCCAATCATCCAGATGGTGTGGATGGTATCGGGAGTTCTGCCGCGATGTGCGTTCGTGAAATTTGACGGCTGGGATTAATCCGAACAATTCCTCAGAGCACTCCCCATGGTAGATGCGAAAGAAAATGCAAAGGGATGCAACATCTCTTCGCAGTGCCAATGAATCGAGCCGATCGGAAAGGGCTCGGTCATCGACGATTCGAGCAGCTCTGCGTTGGATGCGGTCAAGTGGAAGGAGCTGGCACTGGGGAGCCCCTGTCCAGAGATGGGAACAGTATTCCATGTGAGGCCGAACTTGCGCCTTGTAAAGTTGCAGGCGGTGTGCCGGCATGAAATACTGTCCCGCCCTGCTGAGCAGGCCAAGCTATTTAGAGGCCAATTTGGCCTTCTCTTCCAAGTGACCACGAAACTGCACGTCACTCGATATGTCGACTCCGAGGATACCGATACTGGCTGAGGCAAGAAGGGGAGTGCCTTGAAACTGAGGAGATACGACAAAGGGGTTCTTTTTAGCGGTAAACGCGCAAACTTGTGTCTTCTGAGGATTAAACTGGACTAGATTTAGTCGCCCCAAATCCGAGACTTTGCTCAGCAAAGACTCGACTTCAGACACAAGTTTGTTCTGGTACTCAGCGACGTTTTCCCGAGAAATATTGGCACGGCCGGTGTATAGAGCATCACCAGTGCTGTCATCCGCATAGCAATGAATGTTACCAGTTAGCAACATATCATTGATATGCAGAAGAAACAGCGTTGGTGATAGCACACAGCCTTGTGGAACACCAGCGTTAATAGGCTTGTAGTCAGAGCATGCACCGTCTACGACGACCTTGATGCTCCGATCTGCAAGGAAGCTGGTGATCCAATTGCACAATTTCTCGGGAAGCCCATAGGAAGGGAGCTTCGAAAGAAGCGCTTTGTGCCAAACCCGATCGAAGGCCTTCGCAATGTCCAGACTAACGGCCAACGCCTCCCCCTTGGACTCTACTGCCTCCGCCCATCTATGGGTCAGGTACACCAGAAGATCACCAGCTGATCGACCCCGACGAAAACCGTATTGGCGTTCACTAATCAGCTGGTGATCCTCAAGGTACCGGATGAGCTGGCAGTTAATAATGGATTCCATTATTTTGGAGAACAAGGAGGTGATCGCGATAGGCCTATAGTTGGATGGGTCTGAGCGGTCGCCTTTTTTAGGGATCGGGTGGACAAAAGCTGTCTTCCATGAATTCGGGACTACGCCTTGGGAGTAGGAGTACCGGAAAAGACGCGTTAGGACCGGTGCCAACTCCGGAGCACACGTCCTCAGCACAATTGGGGGGATTCCGTCAGGCCCACTCGACTTCTGGATGTCCAGGGAGAGTAGTGCTTTGCGAACCGAGCGCTGTGAGAACAGCACATCCGGCATGGAGCGCTCACACCGCGGGATGGTCGGCGGTGTTTTCCCCCCGTCATCAACAGTCGAGTTGGACGCAAAAAGGGAGCCTTAAAGGTCGGCTTTGTCTTTTGCGTCATGGGCCAGTGAGTCATCCTCCCTGTGCAGAGATGGTAGTGATGGCTTACAGAAATTCCCTTGGACAGCCTTGTCGAGAGACCAGAATGCACGGGTTCTCAAAGGAAGGCGAACTAGTTTCTCGCCAATTCTGCCTATGTGCTCTGACTTTGCCCTGGCAATAAATCTTTTGAAGGACCTGGAGGCGAAGTTATACTTCTTTTTAAGTGTGCTGGTTTGGTCGTTCAAGCGAACAAGACAGACAAAGATTCAATCGACATAAAGCCAAAATCCATCACTTCCTACGAGGAGACTACGTGTTAATTAAGAATAACCCTCGCAATCAAACATCCCTAGACCTTAAATTCAGTGAACCTTATGAAGTTTGCAGGATACTGGAAAATGACCGTTATTTGGTGAAGAAAGTAATTGGAAGAGGACGACCTCGCAAGGTTGCTCATGATCAGCTGCGCCGCGCCCCGCAACCCGGTGAACTGTTGACCGTATCGGCGGGAAATATATCACCTGGTCATCAGGACTCGGCTTCAATATCTATTGAGCCCGTCCCTCCGACTTCGCAAGACCTAGCAAATCACGACTTACAGGCTTAAAGCAGTTCATCAAAATAAAGTGTAAGTAACTCAATTCAATATTAAGCTTTAACTAACTCTACGAGACATTCTAACATAAGTATCTACGAGAACCTCCGAGAACCTCCGAGAACCTTCGAGAACTCTACGAGAACCTACTAACCTCAATAACATTAATATTACCAACCATACAAGGAATTATGTGTTGGTGTAACAACTAACATGAAGCAACACAAGTTGCTTACAGATATCCGACTCAAAAGAAATCTATTGTTACAGGTAAAAACAAGAACTACAATCGACGAGGCTAGTGCAGAGCGCGCACCGCCTGTCAGTATGGCCGTATCGGTGCAAGAACAATAGTTCATCAATTATAATGATTAATTACTCGGCTTAGTAATTTTATTGTGTTAAAAATAGTTCATAAACCGTTTAATACTCACTCTTTGATTATTACAATGTAAAAATCTTGTGATTCACATAATTCAATACTTGACCTAAAATTCATGTACACTTGCTTGCCACGCTATAAAACGACCGCACAAAGCGTGCTAGGTCAGTCTGGCTCGAGCAGTCGAACAGTACAGACCTTTCTAAATACATTGTTACGCTGTCAGTCGAATAAACGAGGCTTTCAGTTTAGTTGTTGTGTTTTATTTGGAAGATTGAAGATGAGTGATCCCCATGAAAATAACATTAGTGACGTAAGCTGTGCTGACGTCACACTTTTTTAAAACAACGAGGAGCTCTGTCCACCGTCATATATAATATACAATTTAGCGAAAATTCGGAAAAATACAAGAATGATCTTCTTAAACACCCATGGCATGATATGCGGCTGTGGATTCTCCTAAGACACTTCCACATGGTTGCTTAAAATTAAATTTATTTCATTTTATTACATTACCCCTTTAGACTTCCATGGGATGATAGTGGATATTCTTACACTACCATGGTCTGAAGATCTGAGCGTATATTGGTGGTGTGAAAATATCCACTAACCCATATCAAAGCGACAGAGGGAAACATACCAGGAGATAGCGTCAAGTGACAATAACAAAAAAACTGTGATTGCTAACCTCTGAATTGTGGCAACTATGGCAAATATCCTCCCTTTGAAGCAATCTATGGGGGAGGCCAATGTTTATGTTTGGCGCCTTTTTTACTTAGTAGTCCATCTAGGCCAAATAAAAGTACTTGCACTGCTCTGTTCCGGTCGGAAGTGTATGGAGAGATAGTATAATAACAGCCTGTGAGGCATTCCATCTTAATCATCAGAGGTAACAACCGCACCTATAGCTTTTTTTATCTGAAGTGTGTAGCAGGTGCCTATGGGCTGCAGTAGCCACCTACATCGGTAGCGAAGCCTTGATAGAAGCCGAGATGCCGGGCTTGCCCTATCAAACTGCTCAATTAATAATATTAACAAATAAAATAACTCGTAAACTGTTTCAAACTATTTCAAATTTCCCGCGTGCTCCTCTGTTCTACACAAGTCAACATTAGGCAGTTTGCTTTATTGCGCGATACTGCTGTCATAAAAAAGGAGGTGAGTTGGGCGATTAATTGTCTCTTGTACGCGTGGGCTTTTTACCGGGCTTTCGAGAAGATAGTCGCTCCCTTTCTTACCTGTGGCAAAATGTTCTATAATGAAATATAACTACGATTGTTTATATAGCAGTTAGTATGGAGCCATAAGCTAGGTTTTCAGTGTGAAGTTAGTCGAACGGGGGGAGTGCGGGCGATACGTTTGCAAGTTTACTTCACATTTCAATGTTTACTCTGTGTACTTACTTGAGCGAATTAATATTACGAGTTGTAAATTTATACTTTTTTAAAGATTTTTAGTGAAAATGTAGGAAAATAGATTTCCTTATGATGAATTGAAGTGTGTTAAAGTGCTAATTAGCGAGGAAATCGTAAAATCTTTAAACTTTGTTTAGTAAAAGCAGCTCGTATCCACATAAACAGTTATTGGTACAATTAAAACGTTCACCAACATTTTACGCGGACGTAATCAAATCTTTTATTAAGAAAGAGAGACGATTCGATATATAATATAAATATTTTATTTTTATTTTGTACATTGTTTGTACTTTGTTCATGCTTATCTTGTGTTCATGTATTGTATTGTAGGTAAATATCTTTTTCATTCGCTCAAGCAAACCCAAACAGATTCATTCAGAGCCAGTGAAGGTATGCAATTGCTGATATGTCATAAAATCTATCTAGCAGTAGTATTCCTTCTGTGTGCTCTGTTAAACACATTCTCGACATTACTGAATATGAAACTGTAGAGGGGAGACAGATCAAGATTGGTGTATTTTTATAAAACTGCTAAAAACAACAAAACCATATCTTGACTCTGAAATTATATTTGTTTTACAGATGAGGGCCATAAGAGCAATTTATGATTTAAAGCCTAAAAAGTCGCTGCGACAA